TTTTATTAACGGTAAAAGTTCAGTGCAATCCTCTAACTAACAATTAGTTATAACCTTAAATAGAGGCTAACTGTTACAATCGTAAATTATTATAGAATATGATATTAAGATGTTCTGACTATTGATGTGTAAATAAATACATGACCTGATGTTAACAGACAACGTTACTACAGAACTGCGTAAAGTGGAATGATTATAGCACGGATTTTCTATTCGTTACATTTTATGATCCGATAATTTGTTATTGTCTTATGACCTGGGAATGGTAAGTCTTTAACTCGCCGAATTTTCATTGGTGATGGCATTGACTGACTATATTATATTTAGCTGCTGGGATTATTTTATATAGCTGGGACCGCAAAATCTATTGCACGTGCAGAATATAGAGAGTGTGCATTTAGCATTAGGTCCCGAGGTTGGGACCATCAAATAGCGTGCATTTAGGGAGACTGTGCATTTAGGGAGAGTGCATTTAGGGAGAGTGCATTTAGGGAGAGTTCACTGTATATATATAAGGCAAAATCCGTTATATCGACGGTCCGTTATATCGACTTTCACTGTGTACTTAATTAAGGTTGACTGTAAAGATAATACTGTTGGAATTATAAAATTACGGTTCTATAATTGCGGGTTTTTCATAAATAATATAACGTCCGCAGTGTTACTTAAATGCTAATATATTAGTTTCCAGGCAGAAAATCACAATGGCTCGCAGCTTACTCCAGATTCTATTGATTCTCTGTCTCATTATTTATGCCTTCGTTATCCTTGAAACTTGAAGTTGGTATTCTTCATGTGGCCTATTTATTGTCAGCAACAACGTTGTCTTCTACTTGTAGACATTTTCTATCGTTCTAAGGGAGAAAATAAACAATGTTCATTATAAATATATTGGCAGCAAACTTACACAAATTAATAATAAACTTTTACCTGACGACTAATAATCTTTAGCAATTTGTTGTTAAACTGCATTGCAAACATATATTAAAAGTTTGGCACCATTTATAGAAATGAAAAAGCAATAGTAATGAATAAAAAATACCATCATACTGTAATATTAGCTTTAAGTGTCTATCGCGTTCAGTCTGCTTCTTTCTTGAAGTTGCGTATAAGTTGCCTGAATATAAAATAATTAATTTTGTTTTTGGAGGACTTCTATTTTCTCTTAAAGAAAGTAAAATCATGTCAGTACAATGATCATACCATTTTACAAATGTTCTTTTTTTCTGTTGCTGTGATATTACTATTGAAGAGGCTTAACTGAATTTTTTGTAGCCGGATGTTAAACTTAGTTTGCTGCGGTTAACTTCTTGTTCACATTTACTTTTAGTATTTTTTTAGATACCGTCTCTCGTTATAACGGCCAAAACTGCCAAACGTGCTATATACGACTCTATTCCTCTCGTTCCAGTTCATCGTTGCTATTTGTTTTTATCAAGGTCTTTCTTCATACCACCTAGAATTTTTTTCTTTTGCCTTTATATCGATCACTCAACGAGAATAACTCCCATAATTTATTCAGCGTCCATAGTAGTGTTAATAAAGTGAAAGAGAAACCGTCAGTGTGGGGGAAAATTTACGCGTCACGGGTAAGAAAAATAACTCCTGGCACTCATGTGACAATCGCGAGCAACAGTATTAGGTAAAAAGTGGCAGTCCCGCGATTGCAGCCTATTGGTAAATTTGGAATGCAAGATGACACAATACATTTTTACATAGAAGTTTTCGCAATACTTGATACGTTTTTACTTCTCAGTTTATAATTTATTGAAATACTAATCTAAATTAATTGAATTAATTGAAATATGACTGATTAAATGGCCTGATCAAATTATTTACATGAAACTTAATATTAAGACATGTGTTCTACAACATAACTCATTCCAATGGACTTTATTAATTTATTTAACTTCAACAACAACAATAATGATAATTTACTGACTGTTTTACGTTATATGACAATACAATGTTTACATACTAAATTTGAGTTATAATTAATACAGTCAGCAGCAAAGGTAATGGCAGTGACAATAGTAATAAGTTTTGTTTTTCTAAAAATTTAATACAAAACCAGTTCTATTACTATTATTATTTACTTTTTTATACGTCAGGCATGATTACAACCACCTCACCTTTATTTTTATACAGTATGTGTATTTTAATAATTTGGTGAGATTGGGATTGACGATAACCTTATTCCTTAAACTGTTTTGCAGCCTGCAAATCGTAAATTTTGGCAACTTTCTATTATAAGTAATATTATGCAAATTTTTGTTAAGCATGAGCCCCCCATCAAAAAAGGAGTTTTTTCTGAATCAGCAAGACCTAAATAACAGTCTTGTAACAGAGATATCGCACATGCTTACAGAGTTCACTCGCTGAATCTGTTTCTAATAACAAACTCTCTAATTACAAGCATTGCCTACTCGCTTCTGTTGGCCGTATTATTAAATGAGCTTATTTCAAAATGTCTATGCATATTAATGCTAACTCTAGCTCTAACACTAGTTCTAAATTTTCTTCATCAGATCTCAACTATACCATCTCATTTGAGCGTAATAATCACGTTGAAATCTTCACGATAATATGTATGCGACAGACATTTTTGCGGACGAAGACATGAGAGGGAAAGTGAGGGAGAATTTCAAAGTGATTTAAAAGAAATAACTGGAAGGAGGAAAAGCGGTGTAAGTAATAGGGGCAGAACGGGAAAGGAGGTATTTGTTTTGGCCGACAGTTGTTTAATGAGCCGTTTATATATCGGTCGTTACAGCTTAAATGAGCCGAAACTTGCAGCTTTTATGTGAGCCGCTTTTATAGGTACTGTATATCCGGTTAATTAATATTTTAACGATGAAAGAAACAAAGTAAGTAACTCGATTTCCAAATCGTTTATTTACTATTTATGAATAAAAATCTATCTAATATTTCAACAATAAAAACATGTCAACATTTCAAACATGCTATTTTGATGACAAGATTCGGGCTTCTTTACTGTGACGGAACACGCTGTGACTGAAAAATCGTCACGAGACGGGATTTCATCACGCATGACTGTGACAGAAAATGCGTTACGCCGTATTTATACTCGTGTGCTATACTAAGATCATGGGTTTTGTATAAGGTTTTATCACATGACTTACTCATCTGATTCATCGGATCGGCTTGCCGTAAACCTTTAAAACTTAGTCATTTATATGGGATACATAAAATCTATGCAGTTGAAGACTTGTGGAGTTATGAGAAAAGAACAATTCATATTATTAAAGATTTTATATGTTGGATGGATTTTATCAAATTAAAATTAAGCATTTCTTTCACATTTCAGTCTTTCTGGTATTCCAAGGTTGAATCATTGACATCACACCTGAAAAAAATTTTATGTGCCTGGTACAAATGTTTCGGTTTATGGAATGATTACAAGATTCTCTGGTACAAGTATACATACAGTTCAAATGAAAAATAATCCAACACCCCTATTACATAATATAAGACAAAATAGTCCGAATTTTGTTTATTGTCTTGATCACTTGAACATTATTACTTCAGGGTCATCCATTTTATGTGCCCATCTAGATGTAAAACTTTCATTATTGAGCCTAGTGAGAATGATACAATATTAGTGACATAGTCAAAAAAAAGGAGGTCAAAAATTGCAGGCAAAATTGCCTGCAAAAGGTCACCAGTTTAAGGAATAATTGCCTCAAATATAAGAACAAAATTGATATGTTAAAAAATACTGGCCATTATTTTGCTGGGGACTAGTATAAATATTCCAGCAAAGGAAAGTAAGCCTTTTTATAAAGGTTCTGTTGATGAAGCTTGTTATTTTTACTTCTGGCAAATCCGTGGACCCAACTTTGGGCCCGTTTAAAATGCTCTCTAAAGATTTATTTATTCAAAGGCTTTGATTAGTTTAGTATCAGTAAAACGCCAGTAATTATATAAATCAGACAAGAAAACGGCTCTCTTAGATTATCTTCAGCAAAGAATTAATTCCACGAATCAAATATTATTTTATCTTTGTATTACAATAGTTCTTGATGTTCTAATAAAATCGCGTTAATTGTAACCCGGATATTTTGTAATAAACTTTCGGTAATTATTTAATTTTTGCGCACAATAAAGGTTATGTTTCCGCAACTGACAGGCTTTTTGTTGAACTAATCACATAAAAAGAAATCGAGGTAACAACTCGTGATTCAATTATAGTCCAGGAAAGCGTATACAAGATCGATTTTTAGATAGTGAGTATAAGTATGATAGTAGATTACACGTCACTAATTGAAATCATTTAATGGTAGCTGGACTAGAACAAAGTTTTTGCTGAGGTAATATTTGAAATAATTAATTGGCTAGCAAAAGTAATAAATCGATAATTTACGTTACAGCTTGACAAGAATGTTGGTTAAAAGGTAGATGAAGAGCACATGTGTTGTCAAACACGATGCACTCGCAGTTTATAAACGACTATACCGATACTTAGTACAATAATAGGTATATACTTCTAAGTACGTGTTAAAAAATTTTGCATCCAATGTCGCTCATTACACGTCTTTCAATATTTATGCGACTCCATAAAACCAAGTTGGTTATCTGCAATCCCCGGCGCAAATGAATACTCGCCACTGTTTTCACATTTAGTGCTACCATATCGAATATTTGACTGACTTGCTGTACTCTTACATTTGCTTGCAGTCTCGTGCAATGACGATATTCGGCTACATCCTGAACGGCAGACGGTAAAGTAATAATGAAAGCGCTGCAGATTACGTGACAAGATATTCATGGTAGTGATACCAATTAGCCATGTATTTGTTACATGATTATTTTTAGAATTTTAATATCTCTTTTCCAAATCTGGGCTGTTACACTACATTTTCGGAGATCGAATACTTTAGTAATAGTAATACATTGCATAATTTTCTTTATTGTATAATTTTTGATTGTCCCTTTTGGCGATCACCACCACAATCTATACGATTTCAATCCAATTGTCTTTATATCAGACCCCTCAAAAATGTTCTCAGAATCCTAAATCTTTCTATAGCAACGGCCCAAGCGCCCTTCTGGTGTTCCATCTTTTTAAGAGCATCCGGTATGCTAGCAAGGAATGTAAAATAGTCCAAATCAACTCCAACATCGTCTATATTGTCGTATGCTCGATCTTGCTTTGAAAAGTCCCGCCAATCGGATTGCAACGCACGTGTGCCCTCAAGTATTAGGGATTCTATTTTCTTGTTGATTTTGTCAGTGTTTTGAGTGATTTCTGCTAAAAGAGTGGATATGGTGGTAGGGGGACGCTCATTAGTGGATTTGTTGTGAAGTTTTAGCAGTGTCAGCGGTGTTGGTAATGACGATTTGCGTGTTGAAAGTTTAGTATTACGAGTGGTTTTATCAGTAGACATCGTTGTTGTTGTGGTAGCGGTGGTAGTATTAGTAGTAGCAGTTGTAGTTCTTCGTCTTCTTGTTATTGGAGCACCAGTCGCAGCAGTGGCTTTTATTGTCGTTGCACTCGTGCTTATATTTGTATTCATACTAGAGGCTGTAATAGTGTCTGTGGTTGTATTAGAATTATCTCCATTAATATATGTAATATTTACAGTTTTGGTTCTATTGTCCTGGTTGTCTCGCTTATTATTATCTTCCAGATTACTCTCCTCGCCCTCCTCGACAGCTTCGACTCCAGCCTGCCCATTCTGTATAAGTTCGTCTAACTTTAAATATACAAACAAACGAAAATCATCTTCATCCGCCCATTGTCGCACTCGAACAAGCTCTGGTTTCTCCTGCTTTATCTCATACTCTTTCTTCGACGCTCTAGATATCCTAGCCTTTTTATTTTTTCGTTCGTTCCAGCATCCGGTATGAAAAACAGCCGAAGTTTGTACGAAATAGAGGAGCATGAGGAGAGGCAGAATCGATCGTTTAATTATTGAAGTAAGCCCGCTTATTAGTAAATCTTCTGCGTATTCGGTCGAACAGGAGAAAAATAATTGTGCAAGCACTATTGATATTGAAAAGATGATCACAGTAAGTAAGAGAAAATTCATTTGACGGTGACTGCTATGTTCCAGCAGATGAAGAATAAAGGGAAGAGAGTAGGTGGGGGAGTGTGATATATAAACGGTTGAAGGAATTGGAAAAGAAGGTTGATCGTATTGTTTGTATGGGGCAGGGATTGTAGACCAGCTGTTGAATGAATATGGTTCTAAATAGGCTGCATGTGGCCATTTTATATGCGTTCATATGATAATATATTTGCCACATGTCAAACATGTTTAACCAATTACCATGCGTTGTGTTCTTTATCAATTAGGACTATTGTGTACTCTACCTGCATGAGTCGAATGCAACTTTCGGTTATAAACAAAGCATTTAATACAACGATAAGACTTCCTTTTAATTATGACAAAGATCACAAATTTATAATTACCTGAATTAATACTCTTTGAAACCTTATCCGAGACTGTATCTCATGTTTGAGAAGTGTGAAAATTGTCCGTTACTCCAACGGGACGGTATTCGAACGATCGATGCAAGGGATCCGTCAATCAATTGCTTGGATAACGTAACTAAGAGTCTTCCAAGATATATGCAAGGATTGCGAAGCAGGCAAGACTGGCCGGTTTTTCCTGCATTGTCATGGTTCGGCTTAATATTAAGACGTTTGATATTAATTATGTTATTAGTAGCTATCGACATTGCGTTGGTATTGGTTCTGTGGTGCATCATCAGGGGCAAAATTGTTCAGCCCCAGCGAGCTGGCTGAAAAGTGGATGCGCATTTGCGGCTGGGGCACAAATTGGCCTTGATCTCCATTTTTTAACTTGAAAACTGGAGATTATAGTTTGAATCGAAATCTCTTTCGGTGTGTTATCCCGTCCCCATATGAGTACAAGAATAAGCTTAACCAAAATAATAAATTAGGATACCAAAATCAGTAGTAAATTGAAGGACGTATTGACTAAGTGGTGTGCATTCCCATGTTTTCTTCGATACGTCCTGAGGTTTCCCCGAGGAAAGCTTATAATGATGTGATGGTATTTAATATATATGCATTCTTATAATGTTGTCACCTTTTCCCAACTTGGATGTTTCTTCCGAACGTTTTCCTGCAAGTGAACGGCTTCTAACAATTCGCTCAACGAAATGGTCTTTGGTAGCTCTGGATCAACGCTTTCAAAACGTCTGCTCTATTCATAATTTGCAGTTAACCAATAATAATAAACGTTTGGGCTGTTAATAATAAATATAACATTTCTTGCAATTATTTTTAGCTTTGTCAATATTGTGCTTTCCCCTTAGAGCATATAAATTAGTAATAAAAATTCGGTTCATTAACAAGCACTATTGTAATATGCTCGAGTACGTTGTTTCCTGAAACAACAAAGACCCGACAAAACAAATGTATAACAATGAGCGATTGGGTCAAGGGTGCAGTTTCGTGTTCTTTATTAGGCAATGGACTATGTTATCATTGGTTACGATGTGCATAATAATAAAATTCTAGAAACTTCCTAATTGTGTTTAACAAACATGCCTGTTTTACATGATGGAACGTAAGTTCGCATATGAAAAGACATGCGGAGCCAGTCTATGCTGACATGTTTATGCAGAAGAAAACTTAACAGTTGCAGGAATAATCACATGCTAATTATTGGTAAATAAGTAGTGCGTTGTGTCAAGTTTTAAGACAGTGCGGGTACAACTTGTGAAAAGCTTTAACGGTTTAATATCTCAACCGAAAATCAATACTCGCTATTTGTATGCTAAATTTCGTGCTTGTATCATATGATATTCACGTTCTGTGGCCCCAGGTAAAATGAACGTGCTGTATATGTTCTACAAAGCAGAGCAAGCGGAAAATGCTTTTCGCGTAGCTTGATAACCTAATTTATGGAAAGCCCAAGTTATATTGGAGAATGTACTTAATTTCGTTATGCCTACTCACAATAAACCGTTTTGCAAATTTGAAGATTTTAATAATCAGCGTATATATTTAATCTGAAGCAGTTCTGACTACTATTATAGAGCATCTCGTTACGCTGGATCAAAACGTTAGTCACAAACACATTTAGTAATAAAAACCCATTTTATTCATCCCCTATTTGTTCAGTCGAGTATGAACGTGTTGGTAGAGTTTAGTCAAAGAACGAGTGTAATGCCGCTACGTTTTTATAACACATGCGTCAGGCGTTGCCGTCAATACCGAAATACAAGTGCATACCCATAACATTTATACGTAATGTTTACATTTCATAGGTTTCGGTGAGAGCAACATACAGTATTTGCAAGCGTTATGAAAAAAACTCGAGATTCGAAACAATGTAAATATCTTGACTTTGCAATAATGATCTATATCGTGTAAGAGTTTTGGAACAAAATCTAATGTATAATTTTTCCTATACCGTGTATTCTGGCAAGAATTAGCATTAGACTTGATTAAATTCAAATGCAAACGAGAATAATTACTACAATACTTTTGCGGCAAACTGAGTTGTTTCCCAGATTGTGACTATACAGAATTGTCATTATCATAGACTTTCTAACAATCTACTGCTGAACAGAAAATTAAGGAAAACAATACGATTGCTGCAGCTGCTAACTATATAAAGCCGACATAATCTTTATGATTGGTTACGTCGAAATAATCCCGCACACTTTTTAAGCATGTTGATAGAATAAAGCTTATATGTTACAATCTAAGATAATAATATCCAAATACAGTTGATATGCACATTTTTCTAATATACAGTCAAAGCTGGCTATAACGAACTTCGGTTATAACGAAGATCTGTTTATAACGAAGATTTTCTCTAAGCCAATTATAAATAGTCATAATCTTAGCTATAAAATGTGACCTTCGTTATAAGGAATTTCTGGTTATAAAGAATATTTTCTCTGGTCCCGTCGAATTCGTTATAACCAGCTTTGACTGTAACGAGTGCATAAATTTATTGATATTGTGCCACTAGCTCATGTTTTCAGTACTCGAATCCACTATCACCTTTCGGGAATATATTTAGTTGTTCGTAATAAGGTTTATAAGTACAAGGAAGATTTTCTGGTCGATGTCAATACGTTCGACATGTAATGCACCATCAAGTTCCAGTCTTGATTTGGTTTCTTAGTAACATGATTCGTCTCACGTTGAAGACGCGCTGTCTGCTAAATTTACGATACATACATATAATTAATCCGTATATGCATAATATCAGTGTTTCAAGAGTCTTACTTTGCTCATTGACTTAAACAATCCATAGCATGGTTACATACGATACTAATCACAATAAGTTTCTAAGGGGTTTTCCATGTGTGTACGTGTTTCATATATATATAACAGAATAGTACATCTGGTTTGGAGGGAGCAATACATGCCGATGGTTTGAAGCGTTTTGTTGAAAAACGCAAACTTGAAGACAAGCCATTTCAATACAGTACAACTACCATAAATACAATCTCGTCTTTTGCAATCTGTGAGTTCCGCTCTAGTAAATTTATTTCCCTAAGTGATTCACGTGATGTTATTGTTACAAATATCAGATCGTGAATGAGTTGGGGTATTTGTCTTTACAATATTTTGAGCTTTTTACAAGTGACGAGAACACGATGGAGAGACTGACGATGTTAATAAAACTGCAATAGTGAGTGCCTAAAAAGTCGGTTAAAAGTATAAGATAAAGCGGGATTCTAGTGCTATGAACCAAAAGTTTTGTAACGTAACACAATTCTAGATTTTTTACGCAACTTCTTCGGCTGGAAATTATCTGTTTAATAGACACACATCGTTAACCAGCCCACGGATAGGGTCGCTGGATGTTGATAGGCATTAATATATGTACCAGACTAGCCTTGATAACTAGACTGTATGGCTTACTCGGAAACGTGGGTATAAATATTTGGGAGATACTTTATTAACTGTGGTGTAACTGGGGACCTGCATTACTGCATTATCGTAAAAGTTGGGAAAGTCTGCTAATGTTATTGTGTTACATTTTGAGCAACTTCTAACTGGACAACCAGCTTGGAAGCTTGTCTTCCTTATCCAAAAGTGTTCGTGGGGGGAACGAGTAAGGTTAAATCGAGAAAATAAGTAATACATCAGCGATTGTCCGCAGAATTGTGGAGAGTATGAATTTCTGCAAACAAAGATGCGATATTTTCATAACATTAGTGGATGATAATCCGTGTGTTAACATAACGTCTTTTTATTTTGTCTTTAAGTACAGATGTATTGGCAGACAAAAAAGAAAAATTATTTTCACATGCTCCGTAAATCAAATCGTACCAAGTATGTATTGAATAAACAGCGTGTAACTTGAATTCTCCGTAGTCTGGTTGGTCGCCCATTTCTATCTTCGTTTTAGCATGGGGAGGGGGGTATAAACCATTATGGTGTGATTTTACCATGTGAAAAAAGTTGGCCAATCAGTTGGTCTCGACGGTGACATTTAACCCCTGAATTTTCATTTTTAACTGATCGTACACTTGATCGTGACACTTGGTTTGATAACAATATCTAAACTTTATAATTGATCAATGTTCTCTGCCTGTCTCAGGACTTGCCCCCGACCAACACAAAACGATATCCAAGATAGTTGTACCCCAACAACTTCTATAATTGTTCACAGATGTACCCACACGACGCCAAAAAAATAATAATACTATTTGCATCCCTACCTAGCCATCAATCATACGATTTGATAGCACAATTCTCTTGGTCTGCTATCAAGAAACGAGAACGATTCCCCCAAGTAACAACATAATGTGAGGATTTTTTGATAGTAGGTCATACGATGCCTTTTCATCCGTTCAAGAATATAGTATGAACTAAAAAAACTACGTCAACTTAGGTCTTTCAACGTTACGAGCACGACTTTGACTTCGTATGCTAGTCTCAACATTTTTGAGAGAGCGTGGGTCTCTTGGTTTGACTATTTCCAAAATGATGTCTTTGCCACGGCGCTCATATCATTTCTGATGCATGAAATCGTCTATTTCGGACGTTGTGTGCCGTACTTAATTGCCGACTACATTCCAGCGCTACAGAAATATAAACTTCAGCCAGTATGTTTATTTTTTTTTTCTTATATATATGAAGGACGTTCGCAAAGAGAGGATACAAATCAGCTGTTAAGGCTAAGAAATATCACATATCTAAGCATAATGTTAGGCACTATCTTGCGATTTAAAGTTCACTTTAATGCTTACGTTCCGTTAATACACATTTTTCTAGAACAAAGTCAACACCGCCGCAGAACAATGGAAATGCACGAAGGCAGTTCTGTTTAGTCACTTTATTTACGAACTTCCTTTAATTGCTGCATTTCACCCGTTTGCTACATTTTTTGGAATGGATATCGTGGTTGTTCCTTTCCCTACCTGGCAGAAAATCGCATATCAAGTTGCATTCTTTTTCGTGTTTGAAGATGCGTTTCACTACTGGTTCCATCGGTTGTTGCATTATGGATCATTCTACAGAAACATCCACAAGCAGCATCACGAATATTCCGCACCTTTCGGTCTGGTAATTAATTGTTACTATTTCATGTCTCGTCGGTGGATATACGCGATCCAAAAATGTCTCTATTACTCAGTGAGTTACGCATCTTTATATTTATCGAATAGGCCGCTGAGTACGCTCATCCCGTAGAGGTTCTGATATTAGGCATGGGTACCATCGGAGGCCCTTTGCTCTGGGTTGCAGCAACGCATGATCTTCATATGATCACTGTCATGTTGTGGATCACACTACGTCTATTCCAAGCTATTGATGCGCATTCAGGATACGGTATGTTTCTTGATTTTCATGTCTATTCATCGGACTCTGCTGATCGCGTTACGCGTTCGCTCAAGCAGTATAGTTGTTGTACAAACTTATACATGCTTTATTTCATGTTTAGATTTCCCTTGGTCTCTTCGTCATTTTATTCCATTCTGGGCTGGCGCAGAACATCATGATTATCACCACATGGCTTTTGTCAATTGTTACTCTACTTCGTTCCGGTGGTGGGATTATATGATGGGCACTGATGATAGATATAAAGAATACAGGAAAAAGAGAGAGGAACGACTAAAAGTTGCTGCTGAAAAGAAAGACAATTAATTTAATGTACTAATATATACAAAGAGAACGAATTTGGATGCTAATACTTTTACGGGTCGCGAGATGGGATAAATAGGTTGTTGGTGAGAAAGTAGATTCGGGTGTTGCTCGCAGCAGTCGCTTGCCCTCCCTATGATTCGTCCAAAATATAGTTGATCTGCCGACAGAGTCTATGAATTTACGTTCTCCGATCGAAATCGGGTTGCTTGCAGTGAGAAATGTAAGGCATAATAAATATCATACGGAGTCAATAAATTGGCATGCATCTGTTATTATTGATGGAAATATAACGCGCGACTGGGGTCCGCCAATGTAAGAGCTGAATGTAACAACATGTTGAACGTTCTTTTGCTGTAAAAAGAAATTTCATTCTCGGGTGGAATCATCAGCGCAGTAATGGAGGTTACAGACAGACAAGTCATTCAAATTTGTTACCATGTTGAAATTACTCAATTTCCCATTAAATCTTCAAGTTGCGAACGTCTGAGAGCATCCGAATCCCGTACCAATGATTCTACGCGTGTGAGATTAAACGTTCCTTTGTGAAATAAACTTTTCTTCAGAATATGTAAAGTATAGAGGCAATTAAGAAATTTTTGCCATGTTGCCGGCGGGAGAGAATACAAAAGATCGCTAAAAAACCATCGACGATGGGCAGGCAAAGAGAGTATGCTATACATCACGGCTGTAATCACATAATAAAACATATGGGGAAAATGTTACCGAAAATAACTTGCTAATAGCAAGGTAATCAAAGTGGCAGCATTTAGATGTCTGTCTTGGAATAATCAAGATGTATGTTCGATTTCAAAGTAAAAGAAGAGAAAAACAAATCCGATTTTTTATGTAAAACGTTGATATTATCTACTACGCAACTCTTCTTTTCTCCCTCGACTATTAATTACAATCTATACATCCTTTCGAGGACTCCGGCTCCTTCTTCGATCGGATTCTCGATCATCGTCATATCTTCTTTTCCTTTCATAATCATGACTCCCCCGGCGCTCATGGTTTCTATCTCTCCTGTCTCGGCTATAACTTCTTCTTCTTCTATGTCTATCCCTACTTCTATCTCCACTTCTATCTCTGTCTCTGCTCTTACTCCTCTTCTCACGATATCTGTCTCGGCGATATTCATAATCGCGATGTCGATGTGATCGCGAAGATCGTTCACGACTACGAGTACGGCTGCGACTGCTACGACTTCGGCTGCGACTACGACTATAACTATATCGACCATTAAGCTCTGGTGAGTCGCGACGCCCGTTGTCGTATGATGGGGATTGCCGCCTACCAAAAATGTATATGGGTAGAAAAAATAGTCAATACAATTAGTACCAGTGTCTAGACAAAAACATCCTTAAGATATCGAATGCAAATGTTGATGTTAATATGCAAAAGAAGATGATGATAAGAACAAGAAAAAAAAGGAATTACATAATTACAGAATCATACGATCTCTGGTTCTTGCGTTCTACCTCATTACGGGAATTTCGTCCCTAATGACACACTCACTTGTGATGTCTCATAATCTGATGGAGGTCGAAATCACATGGAACAAAACAAAAGTGCCTTCACAAGGAACTGGCAAACAAACTCAAAGGGGAGAATTTATGAAACAGCGCAATAATAATCCACATACAGGATGCTTACCCTTGAGGAGTTGGAAGAGGTTTAGTCTGTTCCTTGATCTTCTGCTCAATTTCACGAGCAATGGGAACTGGAATGCGAGGTAATATGGTTCCAAGCCATTTATTTTCTAATAATAACTGACGGGCCACCTTTCCAATAGTTCTGCAAGATACGATCAGGAAATAGTTCCGTTGTAGATAAGCAATAATGTAGCAATCTCCGGAAGTAACAGAAAAGACGACTGTTTTCACAACTAATAATAGACTCACTGTTAAAGAATTAGAGAAACTGGTATTGCCCCATAGAACATACATACATGATGACTGGCCTAGATCCGCCTTGTATTTGAATCTCTTCTTCATCATCCAAATACGGCTCAAACCACGACCAGAGGTCTGCCGGTTTGCAAACATAACGAAGATATAGAAACCCCAAGGCTCTTATGTGGCTGCAAACGGTTTGATATTAAAAGTGTTAAATCGCTGCATTTTGCTTCTGTATTATTGTTAAAAATGCAAAAAGCAGTTCGGTAGGCACAATTGGATCAGATGCAACATACGTACGGAGAATCTGTGTGATCAATCAAGCCTTTAACTTGTTTAACGGACAATCTCAATGTCCATAGCTTGTATAATAAACAAAAGGCTGTCGAAGCTGTTGTGCCCTTAAGAAATGGTTCTGGGAGAAAGGAACATTAAAGATTTAGGTGTTGACTCTCATTACCATCCATGATAGGTAAAAGCAAAATTTTTGTTGCAAAAACCTCCAAATCCTTATGTGAAAGAATTTACCGAGAGACTCGACTGTGAGTGAGAGAGCAAAGTATGTTAGACTAATGAGGGGATAAGGATGAACGTTTAAAGAGAGGCAAATTCTCCATCTTTACCATGATTGTAAATCTCGTCAATAACTTCGTGGTACGTCTTCTTTTCGCTTTAGACAGGCAATATAGATATAAATCTTATAAGTGATCTTAGATTTAATCAATGACCTTCGAAATTAAGTACTTACTACAACTGCTTAAAGTAAGGAGATGCCTGAATATTCTGGTACAGAATGTTGTTCATGTTCATGGTAACTTCATTTCCATACGTTTCTAATTTATTTGATTGCTTCATTTTGGAGAAGGGTTCTGCGATATTACAAGAGGAAGGGGAAAAACGATTGACAGGCAAGCGAAAAAGCGACAACAATTTTTTTTTTTGGAATATTGTAAGGGAAAGTATAGATCACGTTTCATTATAATTCGAATGTCACACAAAGCTCTACATACACCAACCATAAATGGACTTTTCTGCATCCCCGCAAAAAAGGGGGAGGTACAATTCTAATTGAGGCCTACCAATCTTAATCTCTGCATCGATTGGATCACAAACCATAATAATAAGTCTGAACTTTTTATATTGTCTGCACAACAAAGTCGAAGCGATCTCTTCTATATGTGCTAGAAAATAATAACTAGTATTGAGACACCGGACTACAATAACCCTGTAACTTTAATGGAAACCTATAATTTATTTAACATCCTATTACTGTTGTCATTCATTCGCAATGCTCAGTTTGGAGATAAAGTAGCAAGATTCTTTCTTCTATGGCTGATAATACTGGGGACTTGAAATCAATAATAACTGGTGTCTGAATGTGTCGGAAGACGTGTTAAAAAGCTTTTTGTGAGATCAGATTTTTTCACAAACTAATGTAATTACTACGCGTTTTCCAAACCCGAAATACTCTTATGTGGTTGTAAGCGTGCAATGCTTTGTCATTCTCCCTTTACCATGATTGAGTTGTCTTGCTAGACGCATACATCAACTCGGCTGTGGGCACGTCATTGCTTATACTGGGAATAACCCTTTATCACTCATCCGTTCTTTATCATTGAAGCAAAAAGTTGATCTGTTTAGTTCTGCGTTTCACGGTTTAACGACGCTTTTACAAATTAAAATCATACGAAAATTACGTACGCGTTTTCCCATCCGAAATACTCGCAGGCTGCAATACTTTTTTCAAGCCGCTTCCCCTTCATCGTAGTCTTTTTTAGACATACATCAACTCGGCTGTGGGTACGTCATTACTCACTGTTGCAGTCCCAAATTTTGATCCGAGATTAGAACTTAAAAAAAAATTTGTCTACTGATTAGACAAGGAAGGGGGAGAATAAACCCTTGTATTTGCACACTCCGCGACTGTTTTCAGTCCAAGTCATTGGTCCCCTCTTTGTACTCAATTATTTGTAATTCAAGAATTCGATTTCCCGCTGTTTTATTTAGTAATTGGTAGTGGTTCTTTCGGGCAATTACTTTTTCTAATTCTGCTTTAAAGCCAGTATTTTTGGATATTCTCGGAAATATGTTCATGAGAGTGCTACACCATACACTCACTGCCGGTGTGGGAAAAAGAGCATGTATGCCATGACACGCTCGTTTTGCTTTTAGCGATGCGATGTACTACAACCTGCACTGCTTGTGTGGGTCTGGTCTCACAGCGCTTTCTCATGGGCTGGTTTGCGCTGGTTTCTACTGGCTCAGCATATTTTTCCTTATCCTCTATTCTTCGGACGAAGATGAGACGAAAGCTTCGAGGAACCCACGTGTCGTTGAATGCTGCTGCGACACTACCACACAGAGGAACATGTAGATCGAACGGATACGCTATCAGCTGACCAGTCTACTCAGAAAGCTTACAGTATTTGCCGTAATGAGTGTCATAATGTAACTGTTGTTGTTAATAGAAAATCGCTTTTTGCAAGATGAACGCTTTAAAGCTATCCTTTAGGAAGCTTTAATTCCGATTCGCGCGTTCGATAGCATCTATTAATTTTTATATAATCCTCTAGTTGCCTAATATGGGATACGCCATCATGCTGTGAGCGTATTCAGGAATGCGCTAAAAGCCTTGCTTATCCACAAAATATAATAATATAATGCTGAATGTGGTAATGTCACCGCGTTGCACAATGCCTCGACAATCACGTATTTGGTTGATAACTGTAACGGACCCTAAACTTTTTTGACGTATACAGTACAAGACTTCAAAAATCGCACCATAGTTGTTCCTCATTTTCTATTCTACAAGCGAGTTAATTTTATTTATAAGGAAAGTAACAAATAAACCAGACGAACCGTCTATCAGTACCGCAGTACTCAAAACGTATTAGAAAAGTATATATCGCCACCCATCAAATATTTTTCAACGGGTAATCTGCGTTTGATACAAGGTAACAAGACTCGTTCGCGGTGCACAGTTTGAGGACAAAGTCGCAAGATTGTTTCTTCATGATGCTTTTCATGATGAATTTTGATACTAGTTGGTGCTCATCAGTAATTGGTGATGTCTAAATGCGTCAGAAAGCGTGTTAAAAAGTCTTTACGAAATCGGATATGCTTTGACAAGTAACGTACGCGTTTTCCAAATCTGAAACACTTTTGCGTGGTTGTAGGCGTGCAATACTTTATCCAGGCCGCTCCCTTTCGCCATGGTCGAGTTTTCTTTGTTAGACGCATACAGTAACGAGCTGTGGGTACGTCATTACTATACTGGGCATAACCCTCTACCAATCATCCGTTCTTTTAGCAATTACAGGACGCTTTAAAGGGTGATCTAAACAATGGAAGCAAAAGTTTGGTCAGGTTATTTCTCATAATCTTGGTTCTGTATAAGATCGCACATCTACGTCCTTACCACAACTGATTTGCGACGGTGTGCATTGATGACGTTCTCCTGAGCATGATACAGCGTCAGCGGCAGTGTCCAATGAGTGCCCAATGAAACTAAGCACCTGTATTAATAAGATCGGATCAGTCATGTTAACAAACGGCTATTTACGTCAGTTTCACATGACCGATAAATACGCGGGACGTTTATATAACATCTACCATGATGTTGACCCATGTTCTACTATACGTGCAACAGTTTTCACTCGAGCCAAGCAAATACGCAAACTGTGTTTAAACTCGACTTACGTTAATCTTAAGCACCCCGCTCCGCGCCTTCTGAGTAACAAAAGGGAGACAACCGTCAAGCAGTGATAACATAACTGGTAGAGTCTGTTGAGTTGCGTGTTAGCATGAGCTGACTGAGCGCGTAGATGTTATTGTTTTACCAGCCTGGCTTACTAATATTACTGGATGGCTTGCGATCACGATTCGGGCTAACGCATAAGAGACATATTGACAGTATGGGAGACACTAGGCCATAGTTCGGTAGCTCCGAGTTGCGGTGGTATATTGTTTACGAGAGCCTGGCTTACTAATATTACTGGGTGGCTTGCGATCACGATTCGGGCTAACGCATAAGAGACA